CAACGAAGATAAAAAAAGCCTAAAAGGAATCTCAAGAAAAGGATGCTCTCCTCCGACACCTAAAATGTGGCCTCCTGTTTGGTGGCTGCCGGTCTCAAAAAGATGTAGGGTCCCCATTTCATACTCCATGCAATAATTTTTCACCACATCATTACCCCACCCTTATCTATTTTTGGTGTATTAAACTTAATTAAGTACGATTAAAGCTAGGTAAAACTAGTGTTTGGTCATCTAAAAAAGCCAAACAAAACATATTATGCAGCAATAGTTGAAAAAGTAGGCATGCATGTAACAAATTGTTAAGAAAGAAAAAGTGAGAAGAGTTGGTTTGGTGATTAAAATAGAGATTAGTTTTTATAAAAGCATGATTAGATTTGGATGGAGAACTATTGGGGTTGATGATTGTTAAAGACATTCTCTTCTGGATGCTGCATGTGTGAGAATCCAACTCCCATCATGTCCCCATTCTTTCAACAGAATATGTAAACTACTAGAATTCGCCTTCTTTATTTTTATATATTCTTCAATGTCATTATTTGTCTCATGACCAAACACAAGAGAAATCCATATTATTCTCACATATATTTATTTCTCTCGTTCCCCTGTCTACATGTTTAACTTTTTTTTTTTTTTTTGAAAAAAAAGGGGAAAAAAATTTGAGACTGCATATGCCAAGAATTAAAAAAAAAAAAAAAGAAATTAAATGCACGTATGAAATCTATGTTTCAACAAATTAAAGTATGGACTATATAATTTTGGTATATCTCAAGTTTTTGAAGTTGATGCAGAACTCCGTGATATAAATTGGTGTTTCCTTTTATTAATTTGTGTATATATTCTATAGAGTGACTTAATTCTCGATTAACTCTGAGTGTTAATATTTGTACAAAAATTTTCCTAATTTAGACTAAAAAGTAGTCCTAACTCTCTGCTTTGTTAGTGCAGAGATAAACATTTGGAGGGCAGTGAGGAGAGGGACAAAAGGAGAAAACTGGATCATCTTAGAATGTCAATGATCAATTACTTAATAGGTTAAAAGTAAAGAAACTCTTTTTTTTTTTTTCAAAGAGAGAAGAGAGAAGGGCTTCTTGTTGATTCTCCGTGATTGTATCCTAAAAGTAATAGATAAAAGAAAAACACATATAACTGAGGACGAATCCCACGAATTGCAAGAAAAGGAATCAACTCAACTCGATGTCTTTTTTCTATAAAATGTTTTGTAAGCGCTAGAAGTTTGATCAAGTTTAGAGAACTGAATTTACTTTGCACATTCAATGAAGATATTGAACTGACACGTTATTCAACAGTGTATCTTGATCTTAAATCAGCAGCTTTTTATCTATTGTCTACCTTATTATGACTCTAACAAGTTGGAGAAAAGAAATTTTTGGGGGCTATCTTTCTGAAAAAGAGAACATGATTAACTGCAAGTTGAAGATGACTGAACGATGATATAGTTTATTGGAGCCCTCTAAATCATTCGGCTCAAGATCTATGTTTCCATATGGTTAAGCGATCAATTAAGTACAGCTCAGGTTCAAAGAATCTTATTAAACAGTAACACATTATTTGCAAAAAATTATTTGTTTGCATATCATATACACGTTTTTCAGTCAATCGTTTTATCTTCTCAATCACTTTTTTTATTTCATATATATCACATTATAAAAAGTACTACATAAATATTTCAAAGAATATCTCAAATAATCTCCTATCCAAACATGTTTGTATGAACTTGTCTTAAATCTTGTATGCGTCATATGAACTAGTAAGTAGTAATAAGCAATTTCCAAAAAGAAAAAAAAGATTTTTTGAATAGGATCAGGCACTCGTTAACAAATCTAAATTACACCTAACTTTTTATCACTACACACAATCACAATAATTATACCCATTGTGTTTAAATACACTTTTCAAAAAAAAAATTGACACTTTTTTCAGAATCAACCCTCTTAACAAGTGTCTATTGGGTATCCATCAGCCAAACCCTCGAAAGGATTGATTTTATGATCATAACAGTTCATCAAAATATATGCAGTCACACACACACACACACACACGTACACTCCTCCAAACCATCCCTCGTCCCATATAATATAGTGATTAAAGTATATAGAATAAAATAAGTATGATTAATTATTCTTTTTTCTTTTGGTAGGATAAACATGCAATGCTGAGCAGTGGGTTAAGGCAAATGTGAATGGGGCTGCTGCGAATAATCCAAATGCTGCAGATGCTGGTGGAGTTATCTGGATGCTTCCGCTGTTTGGAGGGGAGTTTTTGTGCCGAGCCTTGGGCAATGATTTGGGCCTTAAATTAGCTTTGCATTAAGGGGGTTTTACAAAAGACTATTCGGTAGTGCTGGAGACAGGCTCGAAGGTTGGTATTTGTCTTGTTCCCGTGTCCTTATTTTAATATTAGTGCGTCTGCAGCATAGTTGGCTCGAGGGAAAAATATATGTGCAGACAATTTACCCAAGCTAACTTTATAGTTCCCTAAAAAAAAAAAAAATTAAAAGCTAACTTTTTAGTTACCTAGAATTCTTGGATTTCTTTTAGGTTTTTATACTTTTGTGATAAATTTACCGTTGAATGGTGAAATAATTGGTTTTGACTATTGGATTGCAACAGTTTCAAACTTTTAAACTATAACGAATATCATTATTGGGGGAAAAAAATTGGAAAAAAATAATTTTCTAAATGGACTATAGAATTTTCAAATAGTTACTGTCAGGATTTATAGAGTTCAAATTTATAGTAATTAACTGTTAAACTGCGTTGGTTCAGTGGTTAGAGGAGGACTCTTGGAATTCGAGTTTGAAAGGTGCTCATGCTAGGGAAGTTTTCATGTCATGTTAGAATTTATACGGCCTAGAGGACCTATACTGTCATAAGTGGTTTATTACATTTGTATTAGTCCACTTTTAGGAACTATGATTATGGTTTCAAATCTAAAATGGACTAATTTTGTTCTGGAGTTCGTCCATTTTGAACCTTGGTTTCTGTGGCAAATATTGCTGGTTCCAAGTCCTATGTTACATGAACTGAAAAGAAGCCTTATGATGTCCCATTCTGTAAGCCCAAAAAAAAAAAAAAAAAATCTTCTGCGGGAAAGAAATTGTGTCAGCTTCTAAAATACCTTTTAGCCCATTAAAGTTTAGCCCATACTGTTCTAGCCCATTAAATTGTTTTAGGCTTCAACCTCTTACAAAAAGGTAATCTTAGAATGTGCTAAATTTGGACCCGGGGTTGGCTCGACAGGTACTGGGATTGGCTCATTAGGTTCCAGGTCGTGTGGTCAGAGTTCGACTCCTCCTACCATCTTGGGTCTCTTGGGGGCGGGGACCCGGGAGCAGTGGGACTAGTCGGGCCGAAGGGTCCGACACCCACTATGTTGACAAAAAAAAAAAAAAAAAAAGAATGTGCTAAATTTGGTTATCGATAATGCTCCAAATTCTAAATGGGGAAAAATTGAAAATGGTCTCAAAATTAAAGAATACGGAAAGCTGCAAAGTTTACAATTCCTAGTTCAACATGCTCAGACCCTGTTTAATAATTCAATTCAGAATTTAAATTTAATAGGTTTAGATGCTAATATATTTAAATATTTTTTATAACAAGAAATAGAAAATTTTAATGAATTGAGTAGTTTCGAATTGTCTAGGCAAAACTTACTTCAAAAAAAATAAGTGATAAGCGGTGTAATTATCACTTAATACAAAGTATGTTCAAATGTTAGGATTTTAGTATTGAACAATTTAATAATTTAACAGGTTCAAATTTCAGAATCTAAATCTCAATTTTATCAAATGAATCCTTAGTATTGAAAATCTCTAAATTTGTTGAAGAAAAACGCGATTCATATTTTCTTTCTTTTTCAAAAAAATCTTGAGAAAGTATTTTGAGTGGGTGCCATGCATATCCAATGTTACCCTTCCCCCCTCCTGCAAGGTAGTGATGTTTGATAGTGTCTTTTATGAGTCTATCAATTCTATTTTATTTGATGACAGATAAGAGTATTCTGATTTTGATTTGAGGGTAACATATATGTACTTTGGAGTTTCGTTTGCATTGACAAAGAAGTTTCTAAAACGCTTTCAATCTTGCGCATAGTAGGTTGGCTACTTGGCTATCGTTTGGCCAATTTGAGGCTATAATAAAAAATGACAATGACAAAACAATAAGCGGTAATTTGGCATCACATCGGGAGGGTTTGGTTGGGTGATACGGTGGAAATAATTATAAATAGGAGACCCTAGTTCTAAACTTCCTACTTAAAAAAAAGGGTTAATGCAACATTTTGAAATTTGTAATGATTTTAGAACCCTAGCAAATTTTTTGATAGCCTTTTTTTATATATGAAAGTAAACAAATATCCAACGTATAGAATGAACTATCGTACTACAGACTTAACATAATCTTGTTTTCCTAACCAATCTTGTTAATATCTATTTTCACTTTTTATTTGTCCTAAAACAAGAGTCATTTTTAAAAGTCAATACAAACTTTTATTACCTTTCCATTTTTAGCATTTAAAAGTTAGTCCCTCTACACATCAATACACTATCATAGAATTTAAATGTGGGAGCATTAGCATATTATAAATATGTCCAAAAATACATAATGATTACATGTTCTCTCAAAATTTGAATTTTCAAAATATGACTCAAATTATAGGACAAAAGGAGCACGTATCAAGGTGTGAGGGAGAATTCGGCTTTGCAAAAGCAGCATGGTCAAAAGGCCTCCAAGCTATAATGGTAATGGACAGGCAATTTCTTGATGATGCAGATGATATCCAAAATCGAAATGCTTTGAGTGCATGAGTATTACTGGTCCAGTTGGCCTGTACTAGCATTGCAAAGCATAAACTAATATTCTGTATTCACAGGCTAGAACATCATCATCCATTATTCAGACAAAATTTCTCCCAATTGATTCAAAAATTCGCAGACAAATTTGATAATTTCTTCCAACAGTTCCCCTACAGACCAATATTTCTCATCGAAAAAATCCTCCTCCTCCTTTAGTACTTGCTGACTTCATGATTGATGTGAGAATCGAGGTTATGGCCATAGTAACAAATCCTACAAGTAGAATACCAGTGGCAATGTTCTCCCTATCAAGGAAATGGGATGCTTTTGATCTCTCTTCATCTACCTCTGCGGCATTGGCACCTAACGCTACAGCAACAACAGAAACTACATCGAAGTATCTTTTAAGCTCGAAGGTAACACCAAATCCCACTCCAACTCCACTTGCCAAAAGGAAGCTGATGACCTGCAGATTTCAAGAAAAAGAATCATTTCTAGAAACGGCCAACAATCTTTCTTGGAAATAACTACTGGTCTAAATAATTTGAAGTTTGATAAAGCACCATTCTACAAATAGTTTACTCAAAATTAAGATAATGAATAACATTTTTTTATCGTTAAGCATGTGGTTGTCTTTGGGGGTTTATTTGCAGTAGATAATGTGCAGCTTTCAGTATTCGGTGCAAATATACAATGTTCTTCAGACATACTCTGATAATGTCTTCTTCTTTTTTTTCATTCTACGACATATTTTCTTTTTCTTTCTTTTACCAGATAAAATTTGTCTCGTCTGAGGCAGCAAAAAAATCAACCATGTAATGATCCCAGAAATAATTGCCCAGAATCCTAGCTTCCTCATGCAAACCTTAATGTAAACATATTAATGCTAGGTAGCAGCGTAATAATTCCCGCGACCATAACTGCATTGAATTGGCTTCATTTTCTATTATTTGAACTATTGAAGAGGTACTGATGGCAGTTATTATGGAAGTGTATGAGAGAACCTTATCGCCGTAGAAATCAAACTCCGGCAGACAGCCGTTGCGAATCCACCTCTTCTCTGTGCTAACGTGATATACTGCAAAGGGAAGCTGAATGAGTGTGTAGATGAAGCCGACGCCTGCCACAGCCACAGCATACCTGTTATAATGAATTTATTTCCAGAATTAATGAGACTTTATATGATTAAGCTGGACTAAGATAATTAACTCTATCAGCTGTTTGACGATTTTTTTTTTTTTTAAATGCAGGATTTACTGGCTAGGTTTGATTTGCACAAATATATTGCTGTTTGCATGCTCAAAATATTAGAACTCTGCCATTCTAAGTTAAAGAAAAAAAGAAATCAGAGTCCTGAGATCGTGTAATTTTGTGGTTTATGATCTCTCAAACCAATTATCAACCAACGAAATCTATGAAAAGAAGAAATCTTAAACAATTTGAAAACTTTTAATTAGTTCTTGAACAGGAGTGAGACCCGGCCCTGCAGTTAGCCATTGTCAAAGTAGGATTTGTTTTTCAAAATTACAATTGGATTAAAATAAGCTAAATTTAGAACTTTATTAAGAATTCTCGAAATTATGCAGTCTTACCAGTAAGCATGGAGATCAGCAAAGAATATTTTAGCGCCATCACTGAGCTTGCAATTGTTAAGAACCAAAAGCACAACTGAGGCAGCCAGCGCCAAAAGAGTGATGACCCTCAAGACTAGGACTGAATTAATTACTATCTCCTTTGAAGCCATTTTTGATTAATGCTACCTCTTCAAATTTTCTGATACGATTCCATGGATGGAAAGCCCTTTTTAATACCATGAATTTACCACCTCCAAACTCCTTGTACGTACTGTCGATAAAGCCAAAGCTTTTGCCAGCAAAATAATTTCTTGTGGTTTGGGATCACGGTAAATCTTGCCGATTTCATCTTTCAACAGCAAAGCATGATATGATAGAGACATTGCAGGCTAAGAATATATTATTTGACCTTACCAGCTGGGAAAATTTAATGATTGTTTTTTTGTCCTTTATATTTTTCATTTTACGTGTGTTTTCTTTAATGCAATCTAATTTTGTGGTTTATACAAATTGACCGAATTGACTGCAATGCTCAGTTAAATTTGGAAAGGGTTTAAGGGGGAGAGGGAGTGTTTAAAAAAAAAATATATATTCTTAACCTAAACTTTACACTCACCAATAACTCTAACAACCAATGAGCTTTTGTGGGTATTATTGAGAATGTAGAAGAAAGATTTCTTATTTTTTTAAAAGAATATATATATATTAAATTTGTTAAAGTATAATAACTTCATTTCTGTCAACCAATACAGACGAAGATTAGTAGTTTATCATGATCATGCTTAATTAATTTATATAATCTACAGTTGTATTTGTTGTGGATGTTGATACTTTTGTTGATGGAGGCTTTGTAATTGTCTTAACAGTTTGTTTGTTCACGCCACACAAAACAGCGTAATTGATTAGATTTATGATGCCCTAAAAATACATTCGATTATCACGCAATGGCCCTGGCGTAGAGCGTTGAGGCAAATGGCTTCTTGGTATCATCTGGGAAAAGGATGCTGATTGGAATTTCTTCGCAAGTATATGTCCAAGTGAAAATTAAGGTGGACCAAGTAAAAACCAGAATAAAATTTTGAAGTTGAAAAGCTTATTGAACTAAGGGTGGAGGGGGAGCATTTCATCGATTCGAAATTGTCTACCTCTTATTATACACAAGAAAAAGATCATGCCAATATATTTATGTAACGTAAAATGACATCGACAACTAGTAATTGATCACCTGATCAACGTTCCTATCAATTAAATAGGACCTTAGACAAAATGATGTGTATAAGTAGTCATTAATCGCTCTGTTTGGATTCAAATTTTTTTTTAAAAATAAATTTTTCATCTACAACGCTACAATAATACACAAATAAAAACAACTCCAAAAATACCATATCCATACAATATATCAAAAACAACTCCAAATATACAAAAAAAAATACACAATTACCCATCACTCTCCACCACCACGGCTACCACCTTACCGTCACCACCCCCACACCCACGATCCTCTCTTCTCTCTCCTCTCTCTCTCCGCCCATCTTTCCTCCCTCTCTCCTCCTTCTCCTCATTTTTTCCTCCTCTTATCTCTCCTTCTCCTTCCTCCTTTCTTCTTTCCCTTTCCCCTCAACTGACCGCAACCTTCCTAGTCACAATCAAATCTGATTGCGACCAGAAGCCGCGACCAAGACGGTCGTGGTTAGAGTGGTGGCTAAAGTTGCAGTCACAACCCGCGAGCAGGAGAGGAGTTTGGGGTTGGGGGGAAGGAGGGGAGGGGGAGAAGAGAAAAGGGAGAGGAAAGAGGGAGGAGGAGGAAGGGGAGGAAATAGAGGGGTGGAGGAGAGGAAGAGAAAGGAGAGAGAGGGAGGAAAAGGGAGGGGATAGTGGTGGGCCGTGTAAAATTTTTTTAAAAAATCCCAAAAAAATTGTAAATTATAAAAATACTCAAAAATATATTTTAAAAATATCTCTAAAAACAATCCAAAAACCATCTACATTAAAAGTTTTTCATATACACAACTATAGTAAAATTTTTGAAAAATACCTCCAAAAACAACTAATCCAAACAGAACCAATTGATTTGAGAAGCATATGATGATCCAAAGAGTTTCTTACAAACTATGTAATTCAACAAGACGCAAGGTTAAAGATTAATTTGGGCTTTTCATTGCATTAGAAGATAGTAATTTTTAATTGTCTTAGTACCATAAAATTTATCTGTTTTGCAAAATGATCTTTCAATTGCTTTTTCACATACTAAAGACCTGCATCTATCATTTTCAATTCATTGTGCACCGGAATTGCAATCTACCTCGCCTCTTATTCTCTATTATTAAGTATGAAGCATGACATAAACATGCACAAGGTTCAAGTATTCTATTATGAGTTATATTTAATTAGTGCAGAGCTATAAATTATTAGGATTCTGTAAAAGTAGATTTAGAAGATATTTATCTAGGTTTTTTACTCTTATTCAATAGTTAAAAACAGAATAAAACGAATACAGACTGAATTCAAATATGTAGCTGTGTCTACATTTTGTTCAAGCAACATAAAATTAAAAGAAAAGACGGAAAAAGAAAAAAAAATCGAAGTCATTGACTCATTCAATGAGATAACCTTTTCATCCAACTGGGGAAGATAATGGCAAATCTCTGGAACCCCTATGTTTGTGTCAAAATATTATCCCATAATATTCATTGGTATCAACAATTTTCCTTGAAGAAATTAAGTTGGATATGCTCATATGACCATATGACTTTTCCAACCAATTATATACATAATGGAAAAATCACAGGTGATGCCACAGGTTCAATTGAAGCTCATTACTTTTTGTCAAATTTTATTTTAGCTCTTAAGCTTTCAATTCTTTCAAATTCAGCACCCTATTCTCTCACTGTTTCTTCAATTTTAGCAGTTCCGTTAAGTTTAAAATGGCCTACATATCCTAGGTTGCTCTTAGGTGTATATATCAGAAAGGAACCAATCTTCTTGTTAAGAGCTTCAACAAGGAGAGAATGATACAAAACCTCCAAACTTTTGACTTGGAACTGATCACCAATCAAGAAGTGGATAAAAATCAGCAGATTCCTCAGCATTGGAGCTTTACTGCAGATGGTTATTCATCCATCCAAACAGGCCGTATAAATTTGCAGCAAAACTTTGGGATGGAGGGCTATAATATTCTCTTTTTTTTTTTACAATATGATAGATCATCCTACAGTAGGGGAGGGGGAGCACCTGGAGAGGTTTAAGGGTAACTCGGAGCGGATTAAACCATCAACGAACCAGATGAGTGCACTACGTACCCGCCTAAATTTTTTAAAGCAGAGCCATTTTAATGTGGCAAATTAATGGGAGATAAGATTTGAACTCTTGTCTCCCACCCATCAAGATTTAATGCATTGGTGGTGGCCACCAGATCAAAGGCCGGTGATTAAGGGCTCTAGTATTCTCGTTTACGGTTTTTTTTCAATCTTTCTGAATTTTATCGTACTTCAATGATTTAATTTTCATTTCCCATGGTCAAAGGTCATGTTTCCTCGTTCCCAGTCTCTGAAAGTTTGAGTCTCACCAACTTGATGTTCTTTATTCTCTTCTTTTCTTTCTCATTATTCTAAAGTGAAAAATACTAGATGTAACCTTCCGTGGAATTTTATCATTTTCATTCAGTTTCGTTTTTTATTCTTTTTTTTTTTTTAAATAAAGGATTCTTCTTATCTTTTGCAAGCAATCAGAGTCTAGACCCACTTCTTATCCTTTGACCTTAGTGCATAAAATAGAAAATTACCTTTCATAAATTCATTAGTTATATATCCAAAGTTTTATTGTATTTTGTTCTAGAATTACATCATTGTAAAAAATAGATTGATTACTAATTCTATCTGTTGTTTTAATATGAATATGAGTAGAGAGATTTGACATAATGCGAAGAACTGAGATATGTTGAAAGTGAGATTAATTATAAAAAGTTAACCACTAGAGTCGGTCCAATGATCAAGAGAAGGGTGGAAAGGTTAAAATAAAAAAAAAGCTACGTAAAGTTTTTTTCAGCAATAAAGGTAAAATTAATTTTATTTAATCTTTTTGGTCTGGGTTGAAAAACCATTTATTTATCATGACCCAAGGAAACAACTTGGAGAAGCATGGGTTTGGGCAAAATGCCCAAATGCTCATCAGAAATCAAAGGTAGAAATGATTTTTTTTTTCTTTTTGGGTTTGGCTCGTTCACATTTTGAATGACCCAAAATGAAGTTTTGTCGATTAATGTACTTTAATTCTATGATCCTAATAAGCTTGTTTACTGAGTATGATCCCAATAAGCTTGTCTGATTTTATCTAGTTTGAATGGCCCAGTTCGGCAGGGTCAATTGATTTGTACAATTAGCAAGACATTGGTTGTATCAGTCTTTGAGATGCAATAACGTCTGAATAGCCTCAAGGGCTCCTCAAAATCATAAGAATAAAGCAGACTAAACTAGGATAAACCCAAAACTGAATCATACCAAACGAGACACCAAGACGGACAAATTTTTTGAACTGAGAGACTACTTTGAACTCGGTAGAGATGAATGTGGGTTGGCACTTGGCAGCAATCAATCAAACATTGCTTGGAGCCAAGGACCATTTGCGTTAAGTAAAAGTACTTCTATGGGCCTTTTCCTAAAAGCCTAAAGTGGACAAGTTGTATGGTTTACGAAATGCAAGCTATGATAGTTTTATTAGTAATTAAATGTGGATTTTCCTTAGTCCTTAGTGTTCATTGATAAATCGAATGGATTTTTTTTTTTTATAATATAGGTGAGAGGTCTCGAACTCGGGACCTCTTATCCAACTAGGCCTGTCAACGGACCGGAATTCATTATTCCAAACCCGGACCCGGTATATCATATCGACCCAGATCCGACCCGTTTACCCGACGGGTCTTCTACTCTATGTTCCGGATCCGAGATCCGGGTCTACCCGAAAAAATTATCAAAAACTTACAATTTCTAATAAAAATGAGAAAAAAAATATATTTGTAAACTAATTTCTAACTAATACAAAAAAAAAACCAAATAAGAAAAGAAATCAAATTGACTTTACTCAAATACATCACCCTAATCTAATTATATTGATAAATATATATATTTTTTAAATTATTAATCCATTTATATCCGGATCCGGGTCGAATACAGGC